CATTTCATTATCTATTATCTCATCAAGGTTTTAAGTATAGAAATAACGTCAACTTCAAATATACTACCTTGATATGTTTGTATTTGGTAATTCAAACTAACAACTTAATTGAACTTGAGCACCAACTCAATTCCACTATGGCCACAGTTTTGCGGTCATTGTCATTTATCGAATTACTCAGTGAGATAAGTTCTCCTGTACCCAAGAGTGATGAATCCTATGTCGATCCACCACAACCATAGTGTACTTCTCAATGTAGTTAATCACTCCCGTATTGATAACCCTAAATAAGACTACGTTAGGCCAACGTCAAACTATATCGATATTTACACACGACGCTCTAGTGATCTCAAGTATAAGGATCACATGTACTACCATCCGTTAGAGGATATATTCCATAGACATTGGGGTTACCATTTACAAGGAATCCTCTGGTTGGTCAGTCTAGTGAACTTGCCAACTACAAACACCTATGCGTGGCTCCAAGTTGTCACCAAACAACTTTAACATGCAAGATCTGTTGCTATCTTTCGATAGGATCGTTCAACTATATGATAGTCTTACCGTATTATATGTGCCCTTACTTTAGAATAATAGTAGGGCTACGAACAATTTCTAGAATGGTCATCTAATGTGATCATAGGATTCGTACATTCAAGATTTAAAGCACTTAATACCCTTGTCACAATTCTATCATTTTAAGGACATATATTATAACATATCCGAAATACGATTTACATAATATAGTTAGACATAATATAGTCAAATTTCCTTTTATTAATATCAACACATTTTCACAAGTAGTCGAATACTACAATTTGATTTGTTTTAGGGCACCTACCCTAACATGATCTACAAGAATCCTGTGGAACCCCAATTTCCTTGATTCCATCATATTATTGCCTTTATCATTTTAAAGTTGGTTATGTCATTGACATACGACTATATTGTTTGCCAACTGTCGTCGAATGCCTAGGATCAGCCAATCAACTAACTTTTGTTTTTAATTTGTTTCTAAATTATTTGTGAATTATTTCAATATATTTTTATTATTTTATTTATTTTTTGTTATTCGGGCCAGCTTACGTGCAGCTCGACTAGTTCCTCGACTTCGTACAAGTTTTCTGAAATAGGGCAAGCCCTACGTTTCATTGCCAACAATTTTAGTAACCTTTCTTTTGATCTGAACTTGAGACCATAGGGGGAGCAAACCCCTTGGCCCCAAGCCTTTACCACTCGGCAAACCCATTGTTGGTTTATTTTAATATTTATTAAATACTTATGAAAATTATAATTATAATTATAAAAAACTTAAGAAATAAAATATGTTCTTCTTAGTAATTTACATGTAACAATAATTTGAAAATTATATTTACCAAACACATATTGATAGATTTTGCAACTCAATGCAACTTTAGAAATAAGATTTACAAATGCATATTGTTTGTGCTAAAAAAAATTATCTAGACAAATGATGTTGCTTGAGAGGTCTGCTGATAGGAGATTCGCTCAAACTAGGAGATACTTTCAAACCTTACAATCAGTTAAATAAGATTCGCTAACGTTAAGGGGTGCCCTAGGGTTTTTGATGCGACCTTTCCAATGCTTAAGTCATATATTTAGACAAAAAATAGTTGAGAAAAGGAGTTTTATGTGTGTAAATTGTGCCTACCCTTGCTCCCTCCATTGCGCCCCGCCCCCTCTCCCCCCCCCCCCCCCCCCCCCTTTCTTGCGGAAATGATATAACTTTTGTCCCCTAAACATGAGGAAGATCTTAAGGGTTGTGTTGCCATGGTTTTGATGGCATAGTGGAGCTTACGAGTGTAATTGAGCCGCGTTTTGGGCTAATCTAGCTCGACTTGATTGTTATAGTGTTGAGCTCAAGTTCGAGTTTCAACTTGGCAAGCTTGAAAAATCAAACCTGAGCTCGAGCTCAACATTATAAACGAGTACTCGAGCTGGGGGAAGCTCAATCGGGTTTGGGTATGTATTATTTTTCCATACATTTTCTCAACAACCAAACAAGGCCTAGGTAGGCAAACAAAAGAACTAAATAATACAACTAAAACTGAAAAAGAAAGTTTGTTTCAAGAAAGAGATTTTTTTTTTTTTTTAATTGTAAGAGAAGAGAATGAGAGAATGAAACCTTTTGGATTTTAAACTTAAACTTCATCTTTACATTTTGAAACTAGTAGTTCTAGAAAAGGCTACTCAACGTCACTGCTCCGTTGCTACAGAAAATATAATACCGAATTGGACTTGCAGTAGGTGAAGGGTTTGAAGTTACAACAGTTTGAACAAGAAGCCATCATGAGTAGCAAAGAATGGAGCAAACACTAAAGACTCCACTACCATGAGCTTGAAACCTTGAAACTATTATGCAGAAATAAAATCTAGCTAGAGCCTAGGGAAGCATAAGGATCCTAGCTTAGATGTCACACTAAACGAACCAAGCAAAAGACTCACCCAAGACAAGTGACAACTCACAGCCAGGTGTCGACAAACCTCAATGCTCGTTGCAACACCTAATGAGTCTATCAAGCTACATGGGCACCATGTGCAATACATGGTTTAACTAGCGACTACTCTTCGACAAACTCCAGTTAATCACAATTGTAACTAGGATTAAACATAATAATGCCTTGATGATCTCGATCGCCCAAAACTTGTCAATGCCGATAGTAATCATTTTGTTGACGCAGGCACACTCACAGCCGCCGTTACAAACTCCTATAAATACCATGATCAAAACCCTTGAAAGAGAGGCAAATAGAGAATATAAAGAAAGTATATTGCGTATCAACTGTAATCACATTCTTTGTATCACACATCTCAATAAAAAGAAACAATGGACATAGACTCGATTTTTTGGCCGAACCACTTTAAAAAGCTCACCTCTTCATTTATCATTTTTATATCATCATCACCTCAGACTCCGACCTTGTCCAACCCATATGCGCCCATCTTTGCTAGTTCTTAGGTATCACGCACTTATCTTGCTAGGTTCCTCCTGTGGTCAACTGAACAACTTTGGTTGACACGTGTTCAAGACTTCAAGTCTCGACATTTTGGTCGGAACGAGAATTCGCATCAACATAAACTTTGAAAGAAAAGAGAAGAAAACAAAACCTTGAAACTTTTAAGGGAGAGAAAAAATATTTTTTTTTAAATTTGTAAAAGAAAATATTTTTTTATCACTACAAGAAGAAGTACTTTTTGCAACCAATTTTTTTGCAACTAGGCAAAAATAGTTGTAGATACCCCACATTTAGTAACTAAATTCCAATTAGTCAGCCAAATGGAATAAAATTCTAGGGCCCATTTATCCCAGCCTTTAGCGTCTAAAATTAATATTTTGCGACTAATGTGATTTGTTGCCCAAAATATCATATCAGCGACTAATTTATTTGGTTGCCAATTCTTGCGCAAACATAATTGGCAATTACAACAAGGGATTCTGCAGCTAAAATTATGGTTACAGAAAATAATTATTTGCAACTATTGAATAGTTGCTAAATTAGATGCAAATATTTATTAATTAATTTATAACTATTTTTATTAGTTACAAAATAATACAATTACTGAAATATCCAAGCTTTTGACAATAATTACAAAGGGCCCAAGGTACATTTGGCAAGTTATTTTGTGTATATTACAACTAGTTGCAAGAACTCATGTATAGCAACTAAAATGTATTTAGTCGCTAAAAGTTGATGAATTTTTTTGAACCCAACTTTTCCGGTAAAATGAAAAAATATTATTTTAATTTGTGACTAAAATTACTATTGTGTAACTAATTATTTAGTTGCAAATTATCTTCTTTTGACAACTAAGATTTTAGTTGCCAAATGTATGGTAAATTTTGAGCGCCCCATGTTCTTGCTTGAAATAAATTGAAATTTTGGGTATGTTATTTTGGCAACTAAAGTTATAATTGTTAATAGGATTTTTTTGCAACCAAAATGTTAGCCACTAAATATTGTTTATTAAAAATAATATATACTACTAATAACCAAAATCAATTTTATTGTTTGATTCTACTTTTGCCGCCTATATTACCATCTCTTTGATTCTACTTTTGCCGCCTACATTATCCCATTGAAGGTAACTTTTTTTTATTTTTATGTCAAAGCTCATTCTTTTACAGATGATATTTCAATTTTATTGTTTGATATTCAATCCGTTTCTTCACAACATTTGCTTTAATTTGTTTAAGCATCTGTTGTTAGTGACGTTCCTAAATGGGTGGCTTTAACTTCGTAATGGGTAATTTGATTTTTGTCTTCTCTTTCATCTGACATTACAATGGCTATTATAATTGTAATGAGTGCTTTAAATTCGTTTATTGTTACTAATAATCGAATGGTGTTTGATTTTATTTTTGTCTTCTCTTTCATCTGACATTACCATTTTTTCCCTAAAATTTTTGTTTAACCGCTATTTCAATCATTTGTACAAACCCTCATAGTTGACCTCCTTCCAGCACTGGAACAACATTTCTAGTTTCTACCACTCTCGTTCAGTAGACAACGACTCGCTCACTGGCTCTGGCGCTTATTCCGTGCCTATTTCGACAGAGATTGTTAACTTCGGTGAGTTTTGGCGAGACGTATCTCAAACACCCAAATATAGCCGTGTTTAGAAAAATGTAGAAACTGAACCTAACTGGGAACTGAACCAGTTTTTTGTTTACTTGGGAAACCATTCGATTGTGGTCCACAAAAATACAAAAAACTAAATTTCTAATTTAAAAAAAATAAAATAAAAAGTAAACAATTTTTCCTTAAAATTTAAAAAGTAAACAAATTGAAAAGTCCATAAATCCTTACAATTAAAGAAAAACAAAACCCCAAACCTGGTTTTAGGGTAACATAAAAAAAAAAAATAAAAAAAAAAAAAGAAAGCAATTTTGCACAGAAATTTTCAAACTTAAAATTAAAAAAAATTAAAAAGAAGTAAACCCACTTATACAAAACCGCAAACTAATTTGACCTAAAACGCAAACACTCTCCACTTCTCCACTCCGTTCGCATCTTCTCCATTTTTTCACGCCACATATAAAACATTACAAAATCCTACTGCTTTATTTTTGAACCCAGAAAAAGAAGGCAGAGAGTTTTTAGAGATTAAAAATAGGTGATGAATCTTAAAGATTGGTGTGTGTATTATACAATAATGTTGTTGTTGATGAAATTCCGTTTCTATTAAAACCAACAAAGGCTGATTTCTTCAAGAAGAAAGATCCAAAAAGTGCTTCTTTGCTTCTGAAACCAAAATGAAGGCCAGGAATTTGGTGTTGCTGATGTTATGTGTTACGGTTATATCTCCTATTGTTCTTTATACTGATAGATTCTCTGCCTCTTTCAAGGCTTCTTCTTGTATCTTCTCTTCTTCTTCGTCAATTAATTTGTTTTCCCATCTCAATTTCATACCTTGTTTCTTCTTCCTCAATTAACATTTTTCTGGGTTTGTTTCGTTTTTGCAGCTAGAAACCAATTTCTTGAAGATCTTTCAGCTTTTGTAAGTTTTTTCAACTTTCCTTTTTCACCACTTGTCTTTCAAACAAGATAAGATATTAAAGTTTCAATCTTTCTTCGTTTTTTCTCTTCAGATTGTCGGTGGTGATGCCAGCTATCTAAATCCTCTTCCCGAGGTGCTTGTATGTTCATGGGTTTTTTGTTTAAATAGTTTCTTACTTATAAAGCTCAGGTCTTTATATATTAGAAAAAGGTGTGTCAGGATGTTTGAGTTTCTTACTCATAAAGCTACATCCTGACACAGGAAGCCATAGTTCTTCCTCCATTCGTGGCTCTAGCAATTCGTCCTAGACCTGGTGTTTAGGAATATGTTCGTGTTAATGTATATGAACTCAGTGTGGATCACTTGAGTGTCGCAGAATATCTTAAATTCAAAGAAGAACTCGTCGATGGATAGTAAGGAATCGATCTGTTTTATAAATGATAAATCTTGACTACTATTTTGAATCTCAGAATTTGGTTTTTGAGAATGCCTTGTTTTTTCAAATCATGTTTGATGGTGATTGGAGTTGCATTTTCAAAAGGAATGACAATTTCAGTTTTGAGATATGAGGACTTTCCTTAATAAACAGCTTCTAAAAAGGGTGCAATGTTTGTGTCGCTTCATGTCTCATTTCACTTTTCTTTTTATTTCATCCGCAATATTAGAATTTGGACGTTTCTTTGTGCCAGGTCCAATTAAAACTATGTGCTTGAACTTGATTTTGAGCCATTTAATGCAACATTTCCTCGACCAACAAGGTCATCATCCATTGGCAATGGGGTTCAATTCCTCAACCGTCATCTATCATCAATTATGTTTCGCAACAAAGAAAGCTTGGATCCTTTGCTTAATTTTCTTCGTGCGCACAAGCATGATGGGCATGTAAGTTTACTTGAGCTTTTGGCTTTTACTGAATGTAGAGACTATATCTCTTGTTATTGTATGTATATTCAACCTGAAGCCTATGCCTTTTTTAGAATGTATTGTTAAATAATGTATTGCACAGTGCTATATTGATATTCTTCCAAAAAAATATTTGTTTTACATCTGGCTTCTTACCAATTTCAAATATAGATGACAATGAAAGAAGAGTTAATTGTTAATTTCAAAGGCAGACAATGAAATCGATATTTTGAAATTTTCCATTATATTGTCTAGGCGATGATGCTGAATGATCGGATACAGAGCATGTCCAAACTACAGTCTGCTTTGGTGAGGGCTGAGGAATACCTTTCTAAGCTACATCTTGACACACCTTTTTCTGATTTTGAATTTGAGTTTCTTACTCATAAAGCTCAGATCTTCAATAAATGCTTGATTGATCTCTTTATTTGTGTATATAAATATTATATATGGCTCACTGCTATATCTTTTTGGTTGTATTGAAGATTTTGACTTTATGGTGAACCTATCTAGATTAGATTAATCAAAATTGCAATCTTGCTTTTCTCTTTTTTTGTTTGTAGTGGAGTTCTGTCATCTGTTCCCTGTTTCTTTTTCATTGGGAAGCCTGAGCAGTTGTCTGTATACTGGAAACAGGATGAATGCTGTTATAAACTTTCCATTTTTTTTTTCTTATTCCTTGCTGCTTCTCCGACACACACGCTGATGTGCTCCCAAAGTCTAGTGTTTGCAGACCCTATGTACACATGATATTGAACCAAAATGGTTAGCGTGGACTTTTTCTCAATATTGAGTCAGCCTGTGCTTATTGCAGAGTAGTTATGCTCACTTGGTGACAAATGAAATTCATTGATAACATTTGGTTTTTCCATGAAGTTTCAACTTTAATGGATTGATTGCTTCATATTAAGATGATAATGTCCGATCCAAATGTGTCATTGCACTTGCATGTATATTTTCATTAATGATAAAATATTCAATCTACTTGCCTTTCTTCTTTTCCTTGGCCGTCCCGCTGGCCCTTCACCGCCAAGTATGGTTATCTCTACCCTTAAACTAACTGTATGATCTTGTTAATGAACGGAAGTAATGTAGATTTGCTAAGAACTTTGGTTTGCACTAATATTGCAGGAAATCATAAGAATAGAGAATGAACACCCGGATGATAGCCAATGTATTGTCAATGATAGAGTGGAAGGTCGTCTTAAGGTTACCAGAGCATTTGGAGCTGGATTTCTGAAAAAGGTTTGTCGTATATCCTTTGTAATAACTATTTTGTTGCAAGGATTTCTGATAAAAAGTAATTCTGGTTGATAATTATTACTGTTTGGTGATTTGTACATCATGGTAGCATATATCTTCGTTATAGGTGCTCATTGCTTGCTATGTTCTAGTAAATTATATCCTCATGAATAATATTCATCACTACGGTATATGGACAAGACACATTGGCTTTTACAGATAATGCAGTGTATAAATTAAAATGTTGTCATTTTTGGATATCTTTTAAAAGTGTTGTGATAGAGGAAATGCTGTATATAGCATTGGAAATGATTCAAGTTGCAGGTCACCTTTATCAGTGCATAAAAATATCATTTCTGTTGTATGCTGTGTCATGTGAGCCAACCGAATATCATTACTGTACTTATTTTTTTCATGTTTCAATATATGTGTCCTTGCTCTAACAAACCACAAGAATATCATTACTGATTTTGCTAATGCTTCACTCATTTATGCATTCTTGCTCTTACAAAACCACACTTGAGCATTACACTTATGTTTCATTTTTTTCAATTGATGAAGTTCCCAGTGTATTGTTTTATCCAATGGTGTGTTTTAAAAACTTGCTCAATGATATCATGGCATCTTGGTGCAGCCCAAGTTGAACGATTCATTATTGGAAATGTTTCTAAATGAGTATATTGGAACTGCTCCATACATATCCTGCACGCCTTCTCTTCATCACCATAGACTCTACCCAAGAGATCAATTTTTGATCCTCTCATCCGATGGCTTATATCAGTATCTGACCAATCAGGAAGTGGTTTCAAATGTTGAGAGTTTCATGGAGAAGTTTCCAGATGGTGATCCTGCACGGCACCTAATAGAGGAGCTGCTCTTCCATGCAGCTGACAAAGCTGGTAAAATGTTCTTTCTTCTCTGCTTATTTCTTTAAATTCTAATAATCATCTAATTGTACAAAATGTGGAAAAGTAATTATGAGATTTAACCTCTGAAAGTAAGGGTGTTTCTTCCACAGTAAATAGTATCAAAGCTTTTTCCATGTCAAAATTAAGCCATTTGTCAACTATTTCTCAATGTAAACGTTCTGACATAATTTTTAGTCATTTTCTTCTGCATTGCAATAGGTAATTTCTTGAGTTATCTTCCTAATATTATTAACGTGATGGCTCCAACAGGATTGGTTTCGAGCAATTTATTCATGGTTATCTGACTAATTGATTATGCATTGACTTATTAATTATAATTTATATGTAATTATTTAGTTTCTTGCTTGACTTATTGATTATGCATTGAATTGATGGCAGGAAAAAATGATACAGCTGCAACATGAAACACAACTAGGGGAAAGTGAAAAAAACAGATGCAGAAATATGTGAGGAAGTTCTGGGTAAAGCTTCTGGATATAACCAAAATTTTGCATTTTCACAGACTCAACATCATGATACTACAGCATAAGCAGAGTTAAGTGCATAGTGCGACAACAACAACAAAATAAGATTAAACAGTTGGAGGAGCAACTCATCTTATTTGATCAACAAAAAGAGAAATTAAAAAGTCTTGAACAACAATAATTTATCCTGTTGGAGATGATGAAGCAGTTAACTATAGCCCTTGAACTACAACAATATGATAAAGCTCCAACTCGACAGCCATTGCCATCTCCAACTGATGAAGACTCGTCCTCATCAACTATAGCTATTTCAAAAACCTCAACTGGTGACACTTGAGATGCTAACAATATTGATGGTTAGTTTTTTATTGTATGGGTAGTAGATATTTTGACATGGGGGTAGGACCATCTTTTTAGGATTGTTTGCATATATCTGTTAGATGNGTGATCAAGCATCCAAAAGTCATTAAGCAAAAAGATAAACACTCAATCATAAAATTAAAACTCAAAGTAAATCAATTCATATAAATTTGAATCATTGTATCAAAGATTACATCAAACCCTAGCTAAACAACTCAGTTCATACTTAAAAACGAAATAAAATTACAAAAACAAACTGAATCAAGATTTATCATTGAAAAACAAGCAAAAGATGGAGAAATCTTCCCTAATTTGAAGCCCAAATCTTCAATAACCTTTTCCTTACATGAGCTGCCTCCCAAATGACGAACCAAGCCTGTTTTTATTTTCTTTTTGCTCTAATTTATACCTCTTTCACTTAAGGACCAAGCCCTAGCAAGCCAAAACGTGTCATTTTATTTTTACATTTGATGCAGATTTCGCCGCGGCGAAAACGTTCGGGCAAAATTTGAGCATGATAGAGTCTGAATCTGAAGAAGTGTTAAACATATGAATTGTATCCCTTTAAATAATCTTTCTACTAGTTCAAGAATCAGCACAATCCGAGGTCTACAGCTCAAGTTATGGCAAAAAAACTGAAGCACGTCCAGATACATTTTTCTTCAGTTCCCAGCGTATCGTTCACAACTTCAAGCCAAGTTTTCGCCCTTGTCCAGTCAGAATTAGGAAAAACCCAAAACATGAAAGTTATAGCTCTTCTCCTTAGCTTTCCAAAGCTTCTAAATTCAGGTCATTCCGAGTTTTCAAGCTCAAGTTAGACAATATACGCTCAAAACTGTCATTTATGCTAAAAATCATCGTTTAGGCCTAGCAAGACAAATTAATAGAATTAGGTAGCAATTATTGCCCAAATTGTATGAAAAGTATCCTAAATCCTATCAAAATTCAATGTAAAATCATAGTATAAAATATGATTATCAAATACCCCCAAACTTAAGATTTGCTCGTCCTCGAGCAACAAGGAATAAAAACTCAAAGAAAGAAAAGCAACAAGCAACCAAAAACACAAAACAACAAAACTAAAAATGAACAAACAAAAATTAGACTCAAACTCAACACAAGAATTGCCTAGAATTTATGCAAGTCTCTAAGGTTGTTGAAAAATTATTACTAGAAAATGTTCAACACTCCAAGAAGTTATAAGTTGCATCGACTATCTTTCTCTATTAGTCTCTTGAGTAGGTGATCCTCACTTNCCACCATCAGATTCGTTGGTACCTATACATCAAAACCCCATGATTCCAACTTTGATTGGCCGTCGATAGTCGTTGCCGCCACCACTCACCAGTCTCTTCGTGCGACAGGGGTGTTTTAGATATATTTCAAACCTTAATGGAGTATTTAGGGGTGTTTTGATGAATTTTAAACATTTAGGGACTAAAAATTATTTTATAAAATACGGTCTAACCGACTGATCCAACCGGTCAAACCGAAAACTGGATCCTTGAACGGGTCATTGTCCGATCCAATTTTTGAAACATTGCATATAATATTATAAAGCGTATTTAAAATTATTTTTTCCAAAATAGCCTAAAAATTATTCTTAAACACATATAAAATTATCAAACTTATTCAAAATTATTTTCCAAAAATGATTAAACTTAAGTTATAACCAATGTTCTGAAACGAGAGGCGACACATTCAAGCGACCGGGTCATGGTTCGGGCAGTTGGATTGGTTCGACCGTCGGGTCGAACCAATGACGTCATGATGACATCAGTAACAAAACCCTGTCCGATGTTTAAAAGTTCTTATAATGAAAACCTGCTTCTTATAACAATCTCTAAAATGAAAGACGGAAAAGAAGAGAAAGCAAAAAGAAGTAAAGTGGTCCTAAATTAAACGTTACTGTAGGCACTAGGCAGACTAATATACTTCTAAAATGTTAAATTCACCGACACATGGACACTCGTGCTGGCTTAAACGGGCCAGATCCCACAACCAAAAAGCTACATCCATTCATTCAAACTTAGTTTATGATAACTTGGAAATTTAATTTTACATATGTTTTTTATTTTACTTTAAGCAAATTTTGTTCTGCAAAATGAATGAAGAAATTCTTAAGAAAAAGATGAGTTTGAGATGAAATTTTAAGAAGATGAAAATGGGAAATCTTTCAAGAGGAGTAAAAATATGATTCGAAAAAGGCAAAAGATTAAAAGTGAACATTTTATGTTACAAATCCAAGCTGCAAGGAAGATTTCCAAATACTGTTTCAGACTTTTCAACCAAAATTTCCCAACATTCCCACACTTTCTCAGCAACCAAACAAAATTCAATCACCAAAACCTAAAATTAACCATTCTCAACCATTCTTCTATCCAAACTGAACCAAAATTCCCAGGTTCACCAGCGTTTTTCCAATAATCAAACACAATTCACCCACCAAAACCCACAATCAAACGCAACAAATAGAAGAAAAAAAAATCTCAATTTTGGAAACCCAAAAAACCATCAATGTGACATAACACAACATGGAAACAATAAATTACAATCAACCAATCACAAAATCACAACAAGATCTAAAAGAGACAACAAAAACAAAAAGGAAGGAGAAAGAGAAAGAGAGATCTTGCAGAAGCTCTTCAAGTTCGTTACTTGGCTGAATAATAAAGCTCGAAGTCAAAGATCAGAACTTGAAGGAAGACGCAAACGGCAGCTCGCAGACGGCAGATGTGAAGGGGTTGAAGTCGAATGAAGTAGAAAGAGTTAAAATTGTTTTTAAGTATCTTGAGTCTAGATACTTATTAGACTGGATTTGCTGCCTGTCCGATTGGACTGGCGGTTAGATACAGTAACGCCGGTCCAAAACGGTTCAAAACGGTCCAATGTTACATACCAAGTTTTTAACCTTTGCGAACAGGAAATGTGAACAAAACCTGATTGGATCGGTTGGACCGGCTGGTCTGGTAATGTGTGTTTCTTATAACATGCAAATGTTGTAAGTATACTAGTCGCACAAAGTAATAAAGTGATGAGTGAGTATCGTTCCCAAGAGGATAGTGTTACTAAGTACCGATTTCCCGAATTTAAGTCCTAATTAAAGCAACAATAAATTGGATTGATGGAAAATTAACAACTAAAAACAAATTAANTTGCATATAATATTATAAAGCGTATTTAAAATTATTTTTTCCAAAATAGCCTAAAAATTATTCTTAAACACATATAAAATTATCAAACTTATTCAAAATTATTTTCCAAAAATGATTAAACTTAAGTTATAACCAATGTTCTGAAACGAGAGGCGACACATTCAAGCGACCGGGTCATGGTTCGGGCAGTTGGATTGGTTCGACCGTCGGGTCGAACCAATGACGTCATGATGACATCAGTAACAAAACCCTGTCCGATGTTTAAAAGTTCTTATAATGAAAACCTGCTTCTTATAACAATCTCTAAAATGAAAGACGGAAAAGAAGAGAAAGCAAAAAGAAGTAAAGTGGTCCTAAATTAAACGTTACTGTAGGCACTAGGCAGACTAATATACTTCTAAAATGTTAAATTCACCGACACATGGACACTCGTGCTGGCTTAAACGGGCCAGATCCCACAACCAAAAAGCTACATCCATTCATTCAAACTTAGTTTATGATAACTTGGAAATTTAATTTTACATATGTTTTTTATTTTACTTTAAGCAAATTTTGTTCTGCAAAATGAATGAAGAAATTCTTAAGAAAAAGATGAGTTTGAGATGAAATTTTAAGAAGATGAAAATGGGAAATCTTTCAAGAGGAGTAAAAATATGATTCGAAAAAGGCAAAAGATTAAAAGTGAACATTTTATGTTACAAATCCAAGCTGCAAGGAAGATTTCCAAATACTGTTTCAGACTTTTCAACCAAAATTTCCCAACATTCCCACACTTTCTCAGCAACCAAACAAAATTCAATCACCAAAACCTAAAATTAACCATTCTCAACCATTCTTCTATCCAAACTGAA